CGTCTGGCACTTGTGCCTAGCGGAGCGAGCTATCGCGTAGAGCGTTTGTGGCTAGCTCGCAGCCTCGCGTGTGCTGTGATGGCCGTGTTTAAAGTGTTGTAATCGAGCTGTTGTTGTTGAGTTATTTGAAGACCAGCATTAAACCTGATCACAATAAATGTTATAGTTCTTGAACGGAACGGAGATCATAAGCAGATAGAGCTGAGTGTTGTATTGAATAATAATTTCGATAAAGTATTATACATTATGTTCAGTGTTCGGACTTCCGCTGATCATAGCGTTTTAGTATTCCTCCCATTAGTGAATCCCCTAGGCATATGAATATTGTGGCTTGGAATTTTTTTAAATTACTGTTGGTTGCCGTATTACACCCCGTCGATCCTCTGTCTTGTTTGCTGAAGTTTTATATAACTCATTCTATATTTGTTTTGTTCATATATTAAATTCTAACCGTTTTGATTCAGCTAATCTGGGGCTAAACCGACCAGGCTCTCCGACTGTTACACGTCGTAGGAACAGTAGCCAATGTAGTGTTAAGCGAGAATGGAACTTGTGGCTAATCTCGAGCATGACTGAGCGATTTTTTAATATTATATTATAACCTCTAATTTCTAGAATATCGTCCATATAATCATTGTCATCTTCTAAAACTACAGACCATCCGCTGACCGCTGTGGAGACGTGCGCCGGGCCTCGAATTTGGCGCACGTCTCCACTGCGGACAGCGCTTCATACTTGAACATCCCCGCTGCCACGTGCGCATATCCCGCGGAACTGCGCGTCTCATCCGCGCGCAGCGCTTAGGATCAACAGCAAAGCTGTGCCACGCAATCTTGTATCATGTCTCTCTGGAATAATTACAATTGCGGAAGGGACAATAAACATTTAAGTACATTTCAAAAAACCTGTAACCAATAGTTCAAGAAGAAATCGAATAGGACAAAAATTTGCTATTCACTAACAATTTTTTTGGTTAGCCATGTAAAATTCGACTTATTTCATCAACTTCTAATACTTAATATGCAACAATTCAGCACATAAACATGGAATATTACTCATAAGGTGTAATTACATTTCCTAAAAATTATGCGGCCTTCTAGTAATGTAGAAATAAACTATGCAAACCGACCACATGATCACTATTAAAATATTGAGCAGGTAATCTATTTCTTAGACCCAACTGATTGAGCTTCATGAGGATTAATGTTAATACGTTTAATTGTACTCTTTTTTGCAGTTAATAGCTTTTCACGAAGAAACAATTTCCCATTTTTCCATTGCCTAATCTCATCATGTTGACTAGATAACACAGAACTGTGGTTTGTGGCTTTTATGAAAGAGCATTTGTGTGTCTTTGATTTTCATCACTAGTTGCCTTGATTTTATAACTTCACTATATATATTGTACAGTGTACTCTGTCATGCTGTAAAATACTAATATGAGGAAAAATTGTTAGAAGCTTTTAATTATCAGCCAAAAAGGAAGTAGTTAAGCAGCTCCACTTTCCTTCTATGAAAACAAACTCCAGTCTGAGTGAACCCAAACGCGTGTGCGCGAGGGTAGGTGTAGGTTTGGGGTTTTCCACTTTGGTGTACAGTTTTCAGCCCACAGTAAATCTTTATACTGTGTTACACGAAATAATCGCTAATTCTGCATTTTTATGGTAAACAGAACAGTGCTAGCAAACAATGCGATAGACACAACAAATCATTGTGGGCGTGTTTAGCACCAACTCTGTGCGATCTTGCCTGAACAAACATTAAAACATCTATGGAATGTCAGAAAGACCGGCAGCGCTTGTAAACAAACGAAGGTAGTTGGTAGCCACATGTGTAGACAAAACAACGAAAATGTTTAAGCTACCAATGTGGGCGTTCCCTATTATTCGCACTAGAACTTTGAAACTGTTAACTGTATTATTTATTTTTTAAAGGCATGCCCTAAATCGCACCAATCAGATATCAGCTGGTCACATTGTGGTTTAATTTAATTTCCACTAATCAGAGCACACCCAGTTACAGCAGGTAGTGATGTTGGGCTTGTTCTCGGTGTGTGTGTGTGTGTGTGTGTGTGTGTGTGTGTGTGTGTGTGTGTGTGTGTGTATTGGGTACCACGCGTATATAAGATAGCCGAGTCGGTTTAGAGTTAGTGTTAGGGTTAGAGATAGGGTTTCTTGGTTGTCCACCGGACAATGTCTCAGACTGGTTAGGTTGTCCGGCGCAAATTCTGGTTGTCTCGGACAACCGGACAACGCTTATTTCGAGCACTGTGACGTCATCACTTCGGTACTCTATAGTACTAGAGCTACCCTAACCCTAACCCTAACACTAATTACAATTTAATTTAAAAAATTAACTAGGCCTAGATTTGTATCAACCAATGGGAGTTGGGAGGTATGCAGGCCCTAGCCGTGAGTTAGCGCTAGGCCTATTCATAATATACTTGTCGGTCCGTAGTGAACTCGCCTCGCCGGCAAAACCGACCTATGCACAGGCCGGCACTTGAAGCGTTTCAATAAAATATATACGCAGGGGTCGTGTGCTGTGCACAGCGACAGTTAAATATATAGCAGGTAAGAAAGCGTGCGCCAGAAATTCGCTCGACGCTCGCTGCATTTCACATGATTACAACACAAATACTCAACCTTCCGACTCCATCTTTGCTGCTAATTGAAGAACAGTGTTCACTTGTTGTAGAAATATTATGTCTCAGTTCGAAACAGAGCTGTGTCACGCAAAATCATGAAGGAAATCATGAATTCTCGCGATCGCTAGCACTGCGCACGTGATGTTAATAAATTTCGTAATCTGGAGACCCCTACCAGCCGTATTCGTGACGTCATTTGTGCGAAAGTTGGAGCCGTCTATGGTATCTATAGCAACGTCCCACTGGCGGCTTTGACGGGGCTCACATGGGAGGCGGAAAGCAGCGTTTTTGTTTCCCAAAATGCAGTGTGCCGCCTGTTCAGAAAACTCTAACACAGGTTGCAGGTGTACACAGAAACGTCTTTCTTTTAATGCTCTAGGCATAACCACATACATCGACACAAGCGTTTCCAGTCACATACTATATCAACTGCGTATAGAGTGCTTATGCAGTAAACAGTGTACACAGTATACACGTAGTTTTCAGTGCTTCACCAGCACTCTCAAATGTACAACTGACTCGGTGACAATCGAGAAACGCCAGCTAACGCCTGAAATCAACGGCGAAGCCGAAACCTACCTGCTAGCTGGCTGAGTCAAGTACAGTGCTCAACTTTTGTTTAGTACAGTAGTCAATCTTTAACACACTCCCCCCGTTGAGACCTCAAAATGAGACTCAACTTAAATGTAAATGAAACACGTAACTGTACGCCAATATATCATGAAACCTTACACGTATCAAATCAATACTAAAGAAACATAGGATTCCGGCTCTCGCATGAATATCTGATATCTCAGTAACTACCGATATTAGTCAAATTAATTCGTGAAACGCTCCGCCCTAATGTCAACATCACCCCCAACATACGAAACATACGACAGGATCTCAATGATTACATTTCCTGCAATTATACAAACAACAGGTGAAAGTGCCGACCCACTAGCTATGCGATGGGTTCCAAGGCACGTCAAATACAAGTACATTTCCCCGTATACCAATGTTTTATAGTGATTACATAATATGATTATTAGGATAACCAAGTATTCAGTTAAGCTCCTTCTCTACTGTTGAGCTGTTGAAATCACTGGGTGTTGACTTGTATTGGTGCCTAACTAACACACGGTGGTGTTACACCAGCTTGCACACCGGGGGCAGAGCAACAGGCTAGCTGGCTGAGTCAAGTACTGTGCTCAACTTTTGTTTAGTACAGTAGTCAATCTTTAACACCGCCTTTAGCCATGTATTTAAGTTCATTAACATCACGTGCGCAGTGCTAGCGGTCGCGAGAATTTCATGATTTCCTTTGTGATTTTGCGTGACACAGCTCTGTTTCGAACTGAGACATAATATTTCTACAACAAGTGAACACTGTTCTTCAATTAGCAGGAAAGATGGAGTCGGAAGGTTGAGTATTTGTGTTGTAATCATGTGAAATGCGGCGAGCGTTGCGAGCGAATTTCTGGCGCACGCTTTCTTACCTGCTATATATTTAACTGTTGCCGTGCACAGCACACGACCCCTGCGTATATATTTTATTGAAACGCTTCAAGTCCCTGTGGACCTATGTGTCGAGATTACCCGCCTGCAGGTCGGTCACCTTATTTTTCCACGTAAAAGACTGTTTTCAATATAATACATGTATATGTATTTGATAAATTGATTTATATCAGAAGTAGATAATAGGGAAGGAGTGTGACTTCAATAAACAAGGGAAATTCGTCATTTACTAGCCTTAGAATACCTACAATTTATCACACGTAACTCAACCAACTTGAGCTCAAATCGTACACGGTAGGGCCTACATTTGCCTAGCATCGTGCGAAATTGTTTCCTTGTATACACCCGCAATCCGGAGATACAGACTAAAACGTACGACACGATTCTCCATTCTGTTGCCAGCAAACCGAATGTATAACCCGCCTAACTTGAAACAAAAGGCAGCTACTAACGACTCTTGCGCACTCTTGTGCCCTCAGCGATGCGGTGTGGACTCCGGCAGGATAGGTCGAATGTATATTGCGCTTAAAAGTGCAGAAAGAATTACTTTCTTAACTTCAGTTTAATCAATCTTGAGATAAGTAATTGCGGAAATGAATTGTCAAACCTACCAATGAAAATTTGCCAGTTTTGCACTGTCCTTGGCATGGCTCTCTCCATCTACGTTACAGTAGTGTCACTAGTGTGCAATGTCGGGATATGGTGGAGCATGCTGGCTTGTGGACGCTGCAGAGCCCGATGGTTGACTGTCAGTCGAAATGTGTTGATCCTCCCCGACATTGAAGAAATCTGTACGTTATACGTGCGTCTGCCTTACTTCTGCCCGCTATCTTGGTCGAAAGTTTGGACGCCGCGTGGCGAAATCGGAATGTACATTTCAATCGATGACGTAACTCATACAGTAGCGCGCCGCGTAGGTGTTATTTGTTTATAAACAATTTAGGCTGACTGACTCTCTCCCTCTCTTTCTCTCTCTCGCCCCCCTCTCTCTCTTCCTCTCTCTCACTCTCTCTCTCTGCAATAAAAAAAATGTTTGCTGAAATGATGTGTACGCAACTGCGTATCTGCATATCTGCGCCTAACAAAGGTGTCACTACGCACGACTGAAATGTTACGTTTATAACCGTAGCAACAGACCTCAGATGAGCCCAGTCGCTCTACGGCATGTGTTAAATAGTTTAGCTTGCCGTATTCAATGTGTAACATCTGTATCATTTGTATCACGATACGGACGCTGCGTATCGATTATCGTATTGTGGGCTGCTGTATTACTATTCACCGATGTATCTACCCTAGTATACGGATACCGTTAGTTAGACCCTAGTATACTCTTATACGGTACCCAAAATAATTATCTTATATTTTACATGGTACACATTACGTTGTACTTTTAGCATTCAAGTTTTGGTATTAAAATTTCAACATTCGTTCACTATATATACTCTGCAAATTTCATGAAGCAAAAAGATAAACAAATAATCTGCAATCGCTATTCGACTGGGACACAGAAAACCTAAAACAACATACTTTACTTGGTGCAGCACTGGCTGTGCATGCCCGAAATCTTATCAAGAATTGTGATGCTCTGCAGACTAGAACGACACTCATGTTTAGTTGTACAGAACATCAAGAGTGGGAGATTGTTTTTATTTATTCTTTTGGTTAGTCGACTCCAGAGTATGTGGTTGAACTTGTGGAACTAACAAATTGCAATAACATGTTAATTTCATATTTAAATTCATTTGTCAAAATATATTAATTTTATGGGCACTTGAGAGCCAAGCAAAACCAAATACGTTGTCATCGTTGTATATAAGTTGAATTTTCTTATGTTGTGTCCTTCCTTTTGGGTGGTTTTATTTATAGTTGTTTTTCTGCCTATATATTGTCGGGTTGGCTGACTGACATAGTTCTTATCTCTTGTGGTTGTTTTTTGCAGGTCATGTTTTTTGTTGGTGGATGGGTATTTTTTGTGAAGCAACTGTTTAAAGATTATGAGGTGAGTTCAGTCCCATTTTATCGAGTTAAATAAAGGAGGGTTTTAGCATTTATGTTCATGAGAACCCTATTATAATAGAAATAAATAATTCGAATCATAGTATTTTATTCACACAATTATTATACTTTACACTAAATATACATCAGCACTTTTGTTATATTTTATATATTATAATTGTACTACGTATATAGAAAATGAATAAATGTATTACCTATCTGGGGAAATCAGTATAGTATACAGATACTTTTTATATTCATTTAATTGCTATCTCGGTTTTTTGTTACACACAAATTTATTGCAATTTTTGTTTGCCATTGGTAGTATCATTGTATGTGGCAAATGTGTTGTTTGAGACGTGATGCGAAAGTTTCTTGGAATCACAAGTTTCCTTTTGTGACAGTTTTATTTGACACGAACCAAAAAACTTCAACATTACACATTCCAATATTGCTGTAGAAGATTCACGCTATTGACGGGCTCTACTTGTGATTGCTCAAATGGAACCATGCAAATTAGTAATATTTAATATATTGTTGTAATATTGATAGTTAATTTTATGTGACTATAATTCTATGTCTAATTTTGTAAGTATAAGGATAGCATGGGACACACGTGTGTTGGTTTATCTTGTTTGCTTCTATTGTAGATCCACAACATGATAGTTCAGCTACTGTTCTCAGTGACATTCTCCTTGTCCTGCAGTATGTTTGAACTAATCATTTTCGAAATTGTTGGCATTATGGATTCCAGGTAAAAACACATGTCAGTGTATATTTATTTATTTTATTATTTATTAGCTCATCTGACATAGTCAGCATATCATGAGCATGCGTCCGTCCGTCCGTCCGGCTGTCCGTGCGTCCGTCAACAGTTGGGCACAAAGCTAAACGGCTCGATGTACGGATTCGAAAGTCTGGACGTGGGGGAGTAATCCGAAAACAAGTTGGGATGTCGAAGCTTGGGGTCAAAGGTCAAAGGTCAAGAGGTGTAAAAGTAGGGGGAACATTCCCTCCTTAAACTGAAGGTATATGGAGAAATGCAGAATTGCGCGCACAAATCTAAACGGCTCGACTAGGCTCGTGATAGTCGGTGTATAGCATCATGGTAGGAAAAGCCATCACTGTGCCGAAATTGGAGATCACAGGTCAAAGGTCAATGGGGCACAGGGCAGATTTTAGACATTTTCTGAGGACATGGTCTGACGGAGCGATTGAAAACTTTTGTTTCAGCGGTGACCTATCATTTTTATGGCTTTATTGAAAGGACCATGAAATTTACTCGCTGACATGCGAAGAGTAAGTATCGGATAACCTTTTGACCCTCAAGAGGAGGGTTAAACATGGATTTGTGTACTTTAGAAAGAATTTGACTGCCGGGTTTGCTAGTAGAATCTATACATGCCTGGACGTATGAGGCTACAATGTCACAGTGAAATTTCAAAAGCTAAATTTGGTTGAAGAAGGTTTATGCTCTTAAATCGTATAATTTCTATGGCATTCTGTACTTCAGTGTGTTACATGTAAATTATTCACTGCCAGTAGCCACTGCCAGTGCATGTGGTGGTGATAGTACTGTGTAGTTTTTGCTTGCGTTAATTAGTTACAGGTGGCAGCTCTCTATTTCAGCTGTAGGCTTGCGTAGGTAAATGGATGAGTGCTTACCTATTCTGTCTTGCAAATAGTTGTTGCTATTACGTACGATGGGAGCTTCCATCTTTCATCTTAAGACACTTAAACGTACGCGCCATCTTGTGGCAACTTTCATAACGATCCCAACGAATATTTCCTTCGAGAAGGTTCCTGATACCATCCCTGTGCCTTCCACTATTTCGGCGTGTATGTGAACACATTTGGGACTAACAGAGTTTACTAGAATCCCACCACTCCACCACAGAGTCACCGCAGTAGACGTGAGATGAGCGCTGTTGCTCTGCTGAACTTGTTTATTAATTTAAAGACAGTAGGGCCCTACCCTACATTTGTAACAGATATGTCAACATGAGCTTGCAAGCTCTTCACCGTAAAATAAAGACAATATATATGTACAATTACGAATACAACTGTATACAGTTATTTAGAAAGAAGAAGCACATATATCATGCACTAAAATGTAACCGTCTAAATTGTGAGCTCCATGGAGGTGCATAATAGGTATAACTTTTGTTCTTACATTTCTTTAGTTCTCGCTACTTCCACTGGAAGCTGGGACTATACATGATGTTGGTCACTGTAATTGTCCTGCTGCCTTTCTACATTGCATTCTACATTTTCAGCAATATCAGACTTGGTATGTAATATCTTGGTAATATCTAGTGCATGCATTCGTGCGTGCGTGCATGCATGTATGTATATTTTATTTCCTTCTCTTAAGCGGCCCATACACGCACAAAATCATTGACAATAATATTGTCAATAATGAATATGACAATATTATTGATCGTTAGTGGGTAATATTGAAGGCAAATTTTGACTTGCGTAATATTCTGACGGAATCAAAACCCAGTACATATTTATTGAAGGTTGTGCAATGTGCAATATTATTGTGTCATTGGTGGCACATAATCAGAATATTGTGCAATATCTCATTCTGAAGTCAGGCAGCAAAGAGTTATCCTTCTATATTTACACACAATTTGTAAATGTTGACAAATAGTAGGTGTACATTTCACCGTGTAGCCATGCACTGCTGTTATCTTGGTGCATGTATTTCGGTTAAATTGAGGGCTGTCTGATCAATCTAATGAATCTGATCAATCTGATCAATCTTGATATCAATCCTTCGTTCTATGAACCATCTCTTGGCCCATTTCCTTTTTCTGCACTGTCTCTTGGGCCTATCAAGTGCAAAAGCCAGCGCAAGGGCAACGCTAGGATCCATGTCTGTTCACCTTCAGCATCAGAGCACAAATGACGATATTTCACAATATTGTTGTGCCGTTGGTGGCCAACAGAATTTCTTGTCAATAATATTGTACTAATATTATTGTCAATGATATTGTGCGTGTATGGGCCGCTTTACTCTCTCTCCATCTGTCTCTTCCTTCCACCTAAGCTCCACCATACCCTCCCTTTTTCACTCTTTCTCTCCATTTGGCCTACCCTCACTCCCTCTTTCTTTCTCTCTCTCTCTCTTTCTCTCTCTCTGTCCACCTCTCCCTCTCTCTGTGTCTTTCTGTCTCTCTCGCATCGATTCCATCCCCACTTCCTTCCATTCCTTCCTCCTTGTCCGTCCGCCTGTCTGTCTGTCTGTCTGTCTGTCTGTCTGTCTGTCTGTCTATCTGTCTGTCTGTCTGTCTGTCTATCTGTATGTTTGTCTCCCTCACTCCCTCACTCCCTGTCTGTCTGTCTGTCTGTCTGTCTGTCTGTCTGTCTGTCTGTCTGTCTGTCTGTCTGTCTGTCTGTCTGTCTGTCTGTCTGTCTGTCTGTCCCTCAGTCATGTATCATCAACGTGTATTGCTTTTTTAATAATTTTAATAATTTTGCATGTTTTTCTTTGTTCTAGTGAAGCCCAAGATGGTATACTTGCTGACGTTTGCTTCGTGGCTGATATTCATGTACTTTTTCTGGAAAATAGGAGAGCCATTTCCAATTCTGAGCCCGAAACATGGTGATGCACAATTTGAAATTCATTTTAGTTCCACTGCAGTATTATCCTATTTCTAAGGTTCATTAAAAATTTAAGTATTTGCTTTCTTGCATGTCAGAAAAATTGTTGACTAATTACAAATACTAAACCCGAATGGGTTGGATATCTTAAATTATTATTTTTTGAAGAATATCTAGCATAGGCTATTTACCATCTGCTATCTTTATGTGATCCACATCATTAATATGTCATTTTACTTTTGTTTTCCTAGGTATATTTTCAATAGAGCAAGGGATTAGCCGGGTTGGTGTGGTGGGAGTCACTATCATGGCGGTGCTGTCAGGATTTGGTGCAGTAAACTGCCCCTACACCTACATGTCCTACTTTGTTAGGTATGCATACACATTTTAGCAGATAATAGGTGTGTTACAGATATCAGGAGTACAAATTACAGTTTTGCATTATTAGATAGAAATCCACATTTTTTAACTTTTGCTGTTGCTGCAGGATGGTAAATCTATTGTGATAAAATGTGTAATTACAGAGCTGACTTCCAGTTAACTCAATGATAACTTATGAATGATTGGAAACAACATCAATTGTTTCTAATATTAAATCAAAAACCTTTTTACTTTTTACCTGGTTATGTTTGAAATGCCACTAGTGTTGTTTATTCAACGCCGATCTCTTGCTCATACTCATAGGCACGTAACAGACAAAGACATAGAGTGTATAGAAAGGAAGCTTATGCAAACAATGGACATGATTCTCAACAAGAAAAAACGGTGAGAGTTCCCCGTATGCTGTACCATCACTAGAACCATGGTCTGTGACCATGCTATCAATTTCTTGTCAAAGTATTCATGTTGTCAACTGAGAATAGTTTACAACCAAAATATACTATCACTCAGCTGTATTTTGATCGTCAAAACTTGAAATGTATTGCTGTTGTACTAAGGCTGTTCAGATGTGTTGGAGAAACTTCATCACAGCAGCAATGAAATTCATTGTAACAATAATTTCACTTTTTTTCAATATTTTCACAATAAGTAATTCTAGGCATGTAGTTGCGATAATTCACTCTCTGCCTAAATGGGTGGCTGCAAACTGCTAATATCATTGCTGCTAGTACCATCTGGTATCACTGTGTCAGCAAATGTGTAATTTTGTCTCTATGTTTTTTACTTAGTGAATTGTATTTTGTCTACATAGAATGGCATTAGTAGCTAGAGATATGCTTCAGTCTGGAGTAGGAGGACAGACATCTGGTGGGATCTGGGGCATGCTGAAAAGTGCTGCCACCTTGCGACTACCAGGGGAGAGTATCCTTTGATGTATGAGCTGTAAAGCCACAAAACATGTATCTACTGTGTGGGTACTATTAATAATACACTGATAAATCATATTGCAACAGTAAGAACACATAAAATGTAATTTTAATAATAATAATAATAATAATAATAATACAATAATAATAACAGCAATGATTAGATATACTGTTCCTTGAAATTACCAAAAGATGTATGAATAGGTTTGACTCATTTTCATTAACTTATATGTTCTCAATTTTTGTTTACCTTGACTTTATGATCACATGGAGACACAACATTAGTTCAGCAAGAAATTCTAGCATATGAAGAGGTCAGTCGGCAACTGTTCCTTGAGACTGCAGACTTGCATAACATGAAGGTGTGAGCATACCAGATGACTCGTCTTCCTATTCTGTAAAAAGTACCCAATGGTCTCCTTAAACAAGCAGTTACACGAGATGGCAGACGGTTCAATATAATGCAATGTCCTTCATGGAGTAGTATAACAGCTATAGCTAAAAAGGAGCTTGGGGGGATTATTGTCAGAAAGATGTTCTTTGTAAATATTATACTCTTCATCAGTTTTCTTGTTCTAAATGTTATAAAAGTTTAACCATTATCTTGGAACTGTTCTGTTTCTATTTTCTAAGAGTGGCCTCTGGTCTTTGTTGTAAGAGCCTCACAGCAGGTTATAGGTATCACTAATGTCAATTCAGGTTGGACTAGTCCTACCTGTAAGAAGAGGTAAACAGAAGCCCATGCACTAAACACGTCAGTTACCAATGCAGTCCATGCACGATAAATTTCTGGAATTACATTATTGTAACAGGAGAAGTGCTATGTTATGGCTGATCGTATATATTCGATGTAAGCAGTGTTCAATTTTTGTAATGTTAGTATAGCTCATAGGGTCTATGTCCCCCAGGGTACTGCCGGAACGTACCCTGTAACTAATCTGATATGGTTAGGCGTTAGGGAGTAGGCGTAGGCGACTCCGCTAGACTTGTTAGTGGATGAGGCGAGTACGATCCGGCATATTAGATATACCAGGTACGTTCCGGCTAATACCGGACCGTACCCAGGGGTACGTTCCGGCAGTACCCTGGGGGACATAGACCCTCTCAGTATTAGTATGGCCCCTGCTATTAGGTTGCTGCAAAATCATATCAAAACTGAACAGTGCATACTGAAAACTAGGCTCTGTGAGTTGTTTTGTTTCGCACTAACCACCACATGCTAATTAATAGAGTCCATTAGGCTTCTTCTATGAGTGACATTTTTCTTAATATTGCAGGGCATGTATTTTCATATCATCCGTTCTTCTTATGCGAATGAACATGCCAGCAGAGTATAGGTAAGATCGAAGTTGATCGTATATTCCTGTCTTGAAGTGTTTGTACTGTGTAGCATAGGGATTGCTAGGAAAGAGCAATGTGTCCTTATAAAGAAAATTCTGGTAGCATAACCTACCAGAATAGACCAGTTCCTATACTGACTGTGTTTAGTTTTCGTAAATAATGAAATGCCCGGCCGAATGCTAGACTGGTACCCGTCTCAGACACCTCACTCCGGCAAGTATCCTTCGCTACAATGACGAGCTGTTTAGTGTAGGCGTGTGAAACTGTCGACGCGGGTACCAGTCGAGGCCGATGCCAAATTGCATGCAGTGCACCTTCATGAACTCTCTCTTCGTGCACCTTCAGAACACTCCAGGGATACTCGTAGATTGAGGCGCCAATGAGCGAGAGCGCCATCTTGTCGTGGAGTTTGGGCCAGATGCGATGAATTTCTGCATTTTCCTTTGCGTGATTATATGTTTGGCGGCAGGCACGTCAACTTTCGAAATCCTCCAACATTTTTAACTTTCTTCCATAAGGTCACATTGTTTTATGCATTTAGGAAGGAAGGTAAATACTAGTGCATTTCGGTAATAATTTCACATCTTGCTCTATAGTATATTTATAAATTTTTCTTCTTCTGCCACATGATATATTCCCTCATTCAATGAACCTACATTTCAGTTCGGAATCTTATCATATCGTTATAACGCTCTCGTATATTCATTTAATTAAATCCCCATAGGTATGAATATTTGGTGCAGTTTTTTGATACTTGGTTGCCTATTTAAGATCTCCTTCTCTAATCCTTCTTTGTTGGTGAATTATTAACCATTGATTTGTTTTGTTCATATAAGAATTCTAATTCTTTTGATTCAGCTAATCTGGGAGCATGATGAGCGGATTTTTTTGTTACTTGTTTTATAATCTCCAATTCCTAGAATATTGTCGCATATATAATCATTGGTCATCTTCTAATAACTACCAGACCAATCCGCTGACCGCTGTGGAACCCCACGTGCGGCGCGGCCTCGAATTTGGCCGCACTCTCCACTGCGGACAGCGCTTCATACTTGAACATTCCCGCAGCTGCACGTGCGCATATCCCAGGGAACTGCGGCGTCTCATCCAGCGCGCAGGCGCCTTAGGATTCACAGCAAAATGCTGTGGGCCACGCAACTCTGTATCATGTCTCTCTTGGAATAATTACAATTGCGAGAAGGAAGCAATAAAACATTTAAGTAGCATTTCAAAATATCGCTGTACCATATTAATGAAGAAATCGAATGGACAAAAATTTGCTATTCACTATAAATTTTTGGTTAGCCATGTAAAATTCGACTTATTTCATCAACTCTAAATACTTAATATGCCAACAATTCAGCACATAAAACATGGAATAATACTCATAAGGTGTAATACATTTTCCCTAAAAATTATGGCGGCCTTACTAGTAATGGTAGAAATAAACTATGGGCAAACCGACCACATGAATCAGCTATTAAAATATTTGAGCAGGTACTATTTCTTAGACCCAACTGATTGAGCTCATCGAGGATTAATGTTAATAGCGTTTAATTGTACTCTTTTTTGGAGTTAATAGATTTTCACGAAGAAAACAATTCCACATTTTACATTCGCCTAATCTCATCATGTTGACTAGATAACACAAAAAGAACTGTGGTTTTGGCTATTTATGAAAGAAGCATTTGTGTGTCTTTGATTTTCATCACTAGTTGGCCTTGATTTTAATCATTCACTAATATATTATTGTAACAGTGTACTGCTGTCATGCTGGTAAAAAATACTAATATGAGGAAATGAAATTGTTAGACAGCTTTTAATTATCAGCCAAATAAGAAGTAGTTAACGCAGCTCCACTTTCCTTCTATGAAAACAAACTCCAGTCCTGAGTGAACCCAAACGACGTGTGCCGAGGGTAGGTGTAGGTTTGGTGGTTCCACTTTGGTATACAGTTTTTCAGGCTCTATCTAGTAAAATCTTTATACTGTGTTCACGAGAATATTATCGCTAATTCTGCATTTTTATGTTAAATCAGATACAGCTGCTAGCTAAAACAATTTGCGATAGACACAGACAAATCATTGTGGGCGTGTTTAGCACGCACTCTGTGCGGATCCTGCCTGAACAAACATTAAAAACATCTATGGAATGTCAGAAAAGAACCGGCAGCGCTTGTAAACAAACGAAGGTAGTTTGTAGCCACATGTGTTAGACAACAACGAAATTGTTTAAGCATCCGAATCGTGGCGTTCTCCTATTATTCGCACTAGAACTTTGGAAAACTGTTTAACTGTATATTTATTTTTTAAGGCATCCCTAAATCGCACCAATCAGATATCAGCTGGTCACATTGTGGTTTAATTTATTTCCACTTAAATCAGAGGCACACCCCAGTTAATGCAGCGGTAGTGATGTTGGCTTGTCTCGTGTGTGTTGTGTGTGTGTGTGTGTGTGTGCGTGCGTGCGTGCGTGCGTGCGTGCATGCGTGCGCGCGGTGTGTGTGTGTGTGTGTGGGGTGTGCGTTGCATGCCGTGGCGTGTGTGCGTGCAGTAATTGTGAGGTCTCAGTA